CCCCAAAACCCCAAAACCCCAAAACCCCGCTAATCTTTAATTACTAGAAATCTTAAGGTCAATCAAATTAATTACAAATAAGAAAATGAGATTTCAAAGCTCTGATTTATTATGGTAAAATTTCAGAATTTGGCAATACCATTTCTGTTTCTCTTGCTCCTTCTTGGTGTTTCTTGCCTCTAAATAGTTCTCGATGAGCGATTGTTGATATCAATCAAATCTTGATGGAATCTACCATTTAAGTGTTGGGAATCTATACTTGAAATGTACTGTTGATATTCACTTATTACCTCATCTCTTCCAAACTCATCCAAAATCTCAATCTAGTTGTAAAAAATCTCCAATTCTAGCAAGTTATCTTGCATATCCAATACTCTGTCAAGCTCTTTCTCTAAATCTTAGTACTGCTAATGATAGTCCTGCTTGTGAGCAGATGAATAGTCACCATTTTGCCTTATTTTTTGATTGCTGAATTTATCATGTAAAGATTTTGCTTCTAACTAATATTCACCTCTATAGTTTTTAAGTGGAGTCAAGTTATTCTGCCTCATCTTTTGGTTGCTTATAGTCTTGCAAAGGATGTTGTCTCTTTAATAAGCATTTTTAGGATTTATGGGTGACTTGTTAATTACACTTTAGGAGAGCATAATCTAATCTGGATAATAGTTGCTATCAGCTGTGCTGAAATTTTTCTATTTGCTATCAATTTCAATAAGTTGATCTTGAGAGCAAACTTGATTCTATAAATCTCCATAAATAGCAGAATTGAAATTATATTCTTCTTTATCCTCCTCATCTTAACCTAAATCATTTCTTCTGAAATTTGACTTTCTTTTGCTTAAAGCCTTATTATACAAAAGCAAGCTATTCTAATGCTAGAGGAGACTTAGAGGCTCGAATTATCCGATAAACAGTCATTGCTAGTGAGTCTAGTCTCCTGAGCATTTAAATTATTCAGATGACAATTAATCATCAGAAATGGCAAACTCTGAATTTTAAATAAGGATGCTAAAATGAAGTTAACTTTGTAATTTACTTTTTTTAGTTTAAAATGTCCTCATAATATCTCCACTCCTTGATAATGGTTGGCATTTTACTAGCAATATAAAGTATTTAAGCCTAATATATTAGTTCTTAAAAAATACTCAATACTTCTCGGCACATAGGGAAAAATTTTTTGAATGCCTGTACCAATTCTGATTTAGACCCTTGTATCTTATTTTACATAGCAAAATGATGAAGCTAAAATAAATATAATTCTAATTATGACTTTAACAAATGATTATATGTTTTCTTGGGGTTTTGGGGTTTTGGGGTTTTGGGGTTTTGGGG